AAATATGAGTACTGTATATTTCTAAAATATACAATACTTTATCTTTATTTGTTTATATAAATATTTAATTTATATTTCAATCATCTTACTTCATTAAATATACAACATCGTATTATTTTCTATTTCAGAATTAAACACAATTTAGTAAGAACAAAAGTTAGGCATACAATTTTTTTATACAGCGTCAGTCCTAAGTAAGTGCAAATATTTTTAGTGATGATATATTTCGACCCCAGGCACACATCTGTGAGTTTTTTTTGTAGATATGTAGATATTTATAGATGTTGAAAATCATGCATTTTCTTTTAAACTTTCCTGTATATTTTAGAAAACTTTTTAGAACTGTCTGTTTACTGCAAATTTAACAACGGTATCATTTAATCTCTGTTATTGGTTACGGCGGGATCCAAATTATAGGAAAAATTCGGTGGCTCTCAAATTTGTTCAAAAAAAAATATGTTTTTTAAATTTTCGAACTTGAATAACTCGGTCATTTTAAACTTATATTTCGAAAACGGTAAAGAAAAAATGTATTTCTTTTATCAAGATCTACCAGCATTGAAAATATTTGCACTTTTTTTAAGACTCACCCTGTGTAATATAATATATCATAATTCATTACTTCTTTCCTATTTTTTCTTTGCTAACAAATTGGTAATTAAATTTTATTAAAAGAAAAATATGCAAGCAATAATACGAAATTATTTTTTAAGTCGGATATATCAAAATACACAAATTAGAGGATAAAGATAATGATCGATAGTGTTCAGATTGTAACACAAAGCTCCCATCATTATTAAGGTTTCAACAGTATGAATGCATTAGCACGATTTAAACGGTTAATAAATATTTTAACTAAAAATTGCGAGGGGAAAACTGTTTACCCCATTATTTCGGATAAAAAGCTTTTTAGGCATGTTTTTTAAGCGCTTTTTTTGCTCTACCCCTCAGTCATAACCCTCCTGACTTTAATAATCAATATAAGTGTCGATAAGGATATAGCTGAAAACGATTTTTAGTCGATTTTACAAAACAAAACATTTGCAAATATACAGGGTGAGTTTTTAATAAGTGCAAATATTTTCAGGGCTGGTATATCTCGATAAACAAATCATATTTTCTCTTCGCCGTTTCTCAAATAAGTCGAAAATAACCGACATAGTATACTTTTTCGCTTAAATTGTGGGAACCACTGGACTTTTTCTGGTGTTTCTTTCTTGTTAATTTAATCTACTACATATGTTGCTATATAGTGAAGATTTTATGCTTTTTAATTAAGAATTCCAACAAATTTCGAATTTTTTTTATTTCCATTTTTTTTTTAAAATTCCAAATTTTCAAAAATCTTTTTCTGCAAAAAAAACTTATAGGCGTGTTTTTGGGGTCGAATTATACTACCCATAAAATATTTGTACTTATTTAAGACTCACTTTGCATAGTAATTAGTTATGGGAAAAACCGATTAATTTTAATAATCGAGTACTCGAGTTCCAAGCGATTTCAATAATCGAGCGATCGCTCGTATTTAAAAATACGGTTTTTTGCCCGTCGCTTGTTGTACTCGTAACGTCAAGCAGTAAGTTGCGTACGCAGAGCACATATTCTTTCGGTGATGAATGGCAAGTAGCAAGCGACGAGCGATTCGCTTGATTTAGTTTATTTCAAAGCATTGTCGATGTAGGTCGTAAAAGTTTGTCACTCAGATATGCAACGGATAACGTCGTATAAATTTGCTATTTGCAGTGTATGTAGAAAATTCGCTCGGCTTTTTATCGAGGATGTCACAATACAATTGGATTTCAATTTATTTCATTCTAGGATCGCTTGCATTCGCCGCTCGTTCATAATCGAGCGATGTCGGTTATTTCAATAATAGAGTACTCGAGCGAATTTTCGCTCGAGTTATCCCGTCACTAATATAAATTATAAGCACACATTTGCTTTTATTATCGAAAAGTATCTAAAGATATAAAGTTTCAGTTTCATTCAGTTTAAGAAATTGATATTTGATTGTTTTTGACCCCCGTACCTCCAGACAACATGATTTTGAGAAAAACGCGTTTTAATATATTTTCTTTTGACCTTTAGTTATCAAATATTCTAAATGCCTAAAATTTACTGTAATATGATTTTTAAGGGTTCCTAACAAGAATATGTAAAAAAAGTCATATAAACTATTTGCTTATACCCAAAAGTGGGTTTACGGGGTTTAAAATTTCCAAAAGTCAGTTACTTTACTTAGTGAAAACCCCGTAAGTCGTTAAATTTGTATTTACAGGGTTATTACTACGTAAACTGGACAATACAACTGTGTTTTTTTAAGAAATTAAAGGAAACAAATATTTTTATATTAAGTGTTTTTGTATATAAAATAAACATTCAACAAATAAACATTAAATAAAAAACACCGCCTTTCAGGTCGTAACAAATCGCGACCACGCGCCACATCACTTATGCTAAGCAAAAACCCCGTCAAATCAATCTGCTTCGCTAAAAGCTCGTATTTGCTTGTATAATACGGGGTTTTCACTTAGAGATCTGTTTATACGGGATTTTAATTTAGCATTAGGGGAAATTATGTCACATACGCGGAATCTATTTTTTATTATAAATTTAGGAAAAATTAACTAATGCGAGTTTTTTTCTATGTAAAACAGTAGTAAACCATATAAAGATCCAGTATAAGGCAATATCTCATTTTTTTTTAAATTTTGGCGATACGGGTTTTTTTCATAGGACGGCAGTATACAACAAAAATATAAAATACGCTTCTGATTAATAGGTTATGTTTCAAATATAATACAGCTATATAAAATGTATCTCTTAAGTGTTATGTGTAAGAAAGTTGTTAAAAGCATAACTTACAGCTCTAAAAAATGCAAATTTTCCTCTTGGCGATAATTTTCGCGTAGTATAGAGAAACTTCCTTCTTAAAAGTTTTCGTTACCCTAGCACGATATACGAACTCCCCATATAATAAACATAATAAAATTCTCCTCCGAGTTTATAATTAAATATGCGGAATATATAGATAATGTACGTCAGTTAAAATTTAATACTTAGAGCATAATTTCATATATAGGTAATATTCTCGTTGAATTTGAAGCTTCTCTTAAAATTTATATAAACTTTACAAATGTTTTGAATATATAAATACGATTTATTTAGAAGTTGGCATTAAAATAATAAGCTAAACTGACGTTAATTATAATCAACTTGCTATGCTACTTAGTTGTTTTGCAATGCCACTTATTTTAAAATTAATTTAAAATTATAACACGATTTTAAATAGAACTAAAATAAGAAATATACCTATGTTGCGGATTAGTCTCTCCAAAAAATTCTATATTAGTATTTCACCACTGCAAGAAAATCTACAAAATAAAATAGTTATTTTTTGCAAACACTGCTGCGTTAATCCAACGGAAACTAATTGTCAGCAGTTAGGTTTACTGAGAAACAAATTTACCTAACGAACAAGCAAATGCTTAACGTTTCGGAAAGTTTATCTCTTTCCGTCGTCGGAAGCAAAAAAATACAAAGAATAAAGAAAAAATCTATTTAAAATATTTAATTTTTTTAATTAACTATACGAGAACACTTTAGTTTTTTTTACAGATACGTCTACAAAAACTGTTGACGTTAGGTTAAAATAATAAAAATGTATTTTATTATACAAGGTGAGTCTTAAATAAGTGCAAATATATATGGGGTAATATATTTCGACTTTAGAAACACGTCTATTAGTTTTTTTTCGCCAAAAAAATTGAAAATTTGAAATTTTTTGAAAAAATTTTTGGAAATATTTTTATTTTGGATATTATATTTACAATTTTTGAAATTTCCAAAGTAAAATATCTTGTGCTTGCTTCATCCACGTTGTAGATGGAGTTAAGAAGGTTTAGGTAGGGTATATATAAATAAACAAAATACGAGTAGCGGAAAAAGGGGCCGAATTAGGCTTACATATATGCTTATTCTCTGCATTAAGTTCATCAGACCGAAGGGAACAGCCATTCGATGACCGGTTTCGGAGATTTTCTAGCACTCTCGCCATAGTTGTACGTTTTGTACTCAAATGCTATTCTCTGCTTTTCGTTGGTCAGATGGAGGGTTACTGCAAGTCGGCCTGACGATGGAGAAAATTTTCCGAAACCGGTCGTCGAATGGCTGTTCCCTTCGGTCTGATGAACTTAATGCAGAGAATAAGCATATATGTAGGGTTTGGTTTGGTTTGGTTTGGTTTGGTCCCTTTTTCCGCTACTCGTATTTTGTTTATTTATATATACCCTACCTAAGCCTTCTTAGCTCCATCTACGGTAAGGTGGATGAAGCAAGCATGTTTGTCCAGTAGGCCGCTGGTTTTAATTTTGGCGGTACAATCTGTGATTGTCACAGCTGCCGCTAGATGGCATAGAGCATCTAGCACTCTCGCGATAGTAGTACGTTTTGTACTCAAATGCTATTCTCTGCTTTTCGTTGGTCAGATCGACGATTACAGCAAAGTCGGCCTGACGATGGAGAAAAATCTCCGAAACAGGTCGTCGAATGGATGTTCCCTTCGGTCTGATGAACTTAATGCAGAGAATAAGCATATATGTAGGGTTTTTTGGCCCCTTTTTCCGCTACTCGTATTTTGTTTATTAAAATATCTTGTTTACTTTAGAATTACTTTGAAAAACGGTAAAGAGAAAATATGTTTCTTTTATCGAAATCTACCAACCCTGAAAATATTTGTACTTATTTAAGAGCTCTGTATATTACGGAAGCTTGCTCAGTAAAACATTATGTATAGAATAATATACAAAAATATTTTTATAATTAAATGTAGAATCCAAGAATGATTGTAAAGCTTATAGGCGTTTATATTTGAAATAAGTAAACTGGCAACCACCAGTAACTATGTAATGATTTTGCGTGATTATTCACAGACTCGTGTCTTTAACTAACTTGATAATCAACAGTGATACCGTATTATTTAACTCCTTATTTTTTTAAAGGTAACGTTCGACAGTTTTACATTGGGTCGTTTCGTATCGTTCACTACGGACGGCTGTCCTGATGGTGCCTTACAAATCACGGAGTCCAACCGGCCTCAGGTAAGTTTAAAATTATTATTATTACTAGTTTCTATCTAAACGAAATAAATAATTAAAACTTTAAGACGAAATAATTAGGACGGAATACCATGTGATTTATTTAAAGAATATTTTATTATATTTTAACATAAAAACATAACTCAAATAGAATATTAAGACATTTTGAAGGAAGGAACTTGAGAACAGACATTTTGAGTGAGTGCTATATGTATATTATCGACATTAATCTACAATATTATTGTTGTTTTACATATCAAAAATGGAACCTCAAGGTATGATGACAATAAAATATACCGGGTGCGTCTCAAAAGTGGCTCACCCCTATAACTTTTTATTTTTTTCAGATAAAAAAACGAGATTTGGTATGTTAGTATATGACATAAATTGGGATTGATTGACGTAATCAATTATTTTTAGTCAGTTCCTGTTTCACCGGAAATGACTACAACTTTTGATTTTTAAATAGCACTTTTGGTATTTTTTTACTTTATTCGATAGAAAATGGCACTCTGAATAGAATGACATAGCATATGTCAACTTTTGACATTTTCTCATATGGTTCATTTAAAATTATAGCATGCGGTTTATAACGATAATTTGATACGAAATACCAAACGTGTGGTACCAAATTATTTGTAAAAAAATGCTTTTTCCACATGCTAACGAGCCACCGTCGCGTCGTTCCATTTGAAAGAATTGACATATAAGATTACAAATACGATTTGTGCATCTTTCAACCGGCCAGGACAAGACAGGAAAAAAATTAGACGATCAAATCTATTTTTCCAAGACTCCTTGGATAAAAAATAGTGTTTTAACACAATCATGGCACTCTAGATTGAATTTTAAAATAGGATTTTTTAAAGCGAAAATATCAAAAGTTGGCATATGATATGTCATTTTATTCAGAGAGTCATTTTCTATCGAATAAAGTAAAAAAATACCGAGGGTGCCATTTAAAAATCAAAAGTTGTAGTCATTTCCGGTAAAACAGGAAGTGACTAAAAACAATTGGATACAATTATATTAATCAATCAATCCCAATTTATGTCATATACTAACATACCGAATCTCGTTTTTTTATCTGAAAAAATAAAAAAGTTATAGAGGTGAGCCACTTTTGAGACGCATCTCGGTATACCTAGGAAAATATACCTTTCATAAATAAGTATTGTATATATTGACTACTCTAATATAGACAGCTGAAAACTACAATCATGGCGCATAAATCATGTATTTGAGAAATTATAAATGTATTAGATTACAGCTTTTGAAACTAAAATTTTAATTAATATATAAACTGAGAATCGTATACTTCAATATTATGATATTTTAATGACAGATTTATACTATTACATTTAGACATACACTATTCTTCATAAGATTAGCGTAAATTACTTTAATCGACAATATTATTGTTTTAAATGTGAGATCGTGTGATAAAAATAAAAAATATAATCTGAAAACCCTTAATTTGTCTGTATTAAACAATCTTTGTCAAAGATAGTGGGACCAACATGATTAGTAGAGATTTGCACACGTTTCGTTGCCAGGCGGGAGCCATGAGCAGAACGTTTTTCTATTGGCCACTCTGGTCAGCCTACCTTTGATACACTTCTATCGTATTTACTATTAAAATATATTTATGGCTGTTCTTAATTTAAAAATATGCTATGTTTCGGCCACTTGTTTTCAAAAGAATGTTTTTCAAATATAAAGTTTGAAATAATATTAGTCGTTTCTAATAATAAGTTGTTTATTAAATTCATATAAGTTTTTAAACTTTTGTTCACTCTTCTTGGTTCTAACACCCTGTATCTTATCTAGAAAAAAAATAACAATCTTAGAAAAGTATAAAGTAAATCCGTTTAGGAAAAATGTTCATATGCGAGCTGAGAATTACATTTTTCACATTCTATTAAATTTCGCCCCTGTTAGAATTGATCAATTGTGAATACAATCCATGTAAACTTCCACAGGTGGGCGGCTCATGGTGCGGGACGTCATGGGGGCCCGTGATGTACTACAGCGAAACGAAATCCATCACCATCCACGTAAATCTGTACAAGCTGTCGAAGGTGGAGAACGGATACAACTTTGATTATCGAATGGAGTTCAAGTTTCTCAAGAAAAGATCTGCGATTGTGCGATACGGAGGCAGTACGTATGTCATAAATTATTACTAGAAAGTGTATTGAGTTGATGTTAGTTTTCATTTTAAAAGTACATACGATCGAAAAAAACGGCGTCAAAAATGGCTGGGGAATAACAATCGAAAATATCTTTGGCAAGATCAAGCCCTAGACGTCATTAATTGATTCGTACTTTTTTTTAATTTAAATGGCTCTTACTGTCGGTTGGCTTAAGAAGGTTAATTTATTTTTGTGTGGAATAACTATGGCTTTTAAATGGTATAGTTTAAAATTCGAGAAATATATTTTTTTGGAAACAAATTTGTGTGTCTAGAAACGTGCTATTATCATAGACATTAATGTTAATTTTAACAAGTTTTATGTTAACTTTTAGTAAACGATGTCTATAGATTGATCTCGTCAAAATTATCATCGATTGTTATTCCTCAGCCGTCTTTCGATCACATCGTATATCGTGACAATGCTATTTTTCTATAAAACGTTTGCGTATTATTTAAACTGAAAATTTTAAGTTATAATTATGATAGGATTAGATAAACAGCGGTGGTCCAAACTTATATTCTATCCAAACTTATATACTATAAAAAAATAAACTAACCAATAACTAATATTAAATATATAATATTAGACATCCTATTATGAAGGCATATATTATGTTGTTCTACATTTATTTTCTTTTTGAAATTATAAACTTAAATGTTTTATAAATTAATTTATTATGTTCTAAAAAATTGTTTACTTACGAATTTGTTAATAGAATCTTCTTAAATTTTCTGTCAAATTATTCTCGAATTTTATCAATGAATAGCTTATAAAAGTTTTCAGCTAGTTTTAAGCAGTATTAGTTCATGATATATTGATTTACATGATATTTAATTCAAAATGCCTATTATATTATATTGATTTATTTTTCGTTTTGTGAATTAATGTCAAAATATTTTAGTTACAAAATAAGAATTTTAAAGATCATTTACAACATAAAGTATATAAAGAGTGGTCGACTTAAAATTCTGGAAAGCAATGCTGTTTATTTGCTTTCCCTGTGTATTATAATTTTATACCCTATTTTATTAGGACTTCTAAGAAAACGAGCACTGCGATAAAACCTTGGGTGTTAAAAATCTATAAGTAGTTTTGAAACAATTTTCATTATGATTTTCAAAATACACTCGATTGTAATTAAAATGTCTAGGTATTTTTGAACGGGAACTTCATTATAATATAGTTCGCAAAAGAAATATATCGTGAGTAAAACGTGTTAACCTTTTAACTCTATTTTAGACTTTTATTAAATAATACGTTTAATTTTTAACGAAATATTAAGTTTTATTCTTCCCCAACAAATATTGTTATCTTTTTATCATATTAACGCTTGAATATAGTTGCTACATGTGTACATATTTTTTGAATCGTATCTTGTCTCTCCTCTAAAATTAGGAATAGTGGAATTAGCAGTTTAACACATAACACCGACGATATACAATGTTCCATTTAAAAAATAAAAAATTATATCTTCAGTTCTAAAATTAATTCGGATTTGATAACTTAAATAAAATGTGTTTGAAATTTGCATTGATTACCAGTATAATTTAATTAAAATTAAGTCAAATATTATACAGAATATTTTAAATGATGCAGTTTTAAAAGAGTTGGCCGCTCTCTGTATAAAATGATACACTTCTATTTCAACATGCTAGAAATACACACATGGCCAAAATTATTGCATATAACGATATTTTTATTTTATTTTAGACCTAATATGATTCTTTTTATATTTTTGGACATATTGGCTTACTACACGACTAACTAATATAAAATTAAAAATCATCATCAAATTTCATAATGAGTGAAAATCAACAAAAACAAAATTTGTTTTTGTTGATTTCACAAAATAGCAAATATCTATAAAGTTGATTTAATATAATCTAAAGATAAATACACATTGCAGGAAAAAGAAGAAGATTTAAAGGTAAGTGTAATTAAATATTTAATTGCAATCGTCGATACATCCACTTTAACTCGGATAAAAGAGTCCGAAGGAAATTACAGATCACCTAAACTAAAGATGAACGAGGCGGAAATTCACGGCCGCCAAAGCCTTCTCGCTTTCCGTATTATCACTTTCGAAAACTGCTCTTTTCACTTAACACTGTATCGCTTTAATGACGTGAGCAAACGCTTAAGCGCCTCACAAGTATCCTCAAAATACGTTTTAAAAGCTGTACGATTTTTAAACGGAATTTAGATTTTTGTAGTAAGCTTTTTTACGATGAATTTTATAAAGATCGTTTTTATACAGGGTTATTCACGGTCATGGTACGTTACACATTTATGGAGAACCGGTGCACATACGTCAAATTGTCTACTTTAGGACGACAAAAATATTTTCTACTGAAAAATTAATAGTTTCACATTCTAATTAATGATTAAAATCATTGATTTACTGAAAACATTATACACAAAAAGAGCCAAAAATTTGGTGAAAACGATGTACCTCAAGAATCATTCTGAATCATCGCTATTGGCACTTCAGCAAAATTATCGGGGAGATGTAACATCCTTATGACATCTTGAACAAAGGGTTTTCTTTTTTTTGTTTCGTTTTTCGGTAAAAATATATTGTGCAGCCCGAGGCAGTTCTTTATCCGCCTTTAATCAAACTTGATTCAGTAGCATAACATAATTTTTCCAAAAGTACTTCGGAAACTAGCTGTTTAACGTCTCTTTGTTTTGTTCTTAAAGAACAGAACTTTCAGCAAAGGGCTTTTTTGGCCTACCCCTTTTTGACGTTGCCAATCCTGCTTGTTCAGTATGAGTATGAGTAAATCAATCGGTATGAGTAATTGGAGTCAGCTTAAAACTACCTTAGCGACTGAGCATTCCTTTTCAAAAATCTAGTTGGAAACTTTCTACATGCTTTCCATCTATAAAGCAATTTGGACACAAAAATCTTACCGCGCCTTTCAATTGCTTTTCAAAGTTCAAAAGAAAGTCAATTCGGACACTAAATTTGTCTTTTACATAGTTTAAGATTCGTTCTTTGCACTTTGAAGAAGATAATTTAAAGAATCTTTCTTCTTGCAGCACCAGAAATAATTTCTCTCTATTTGACTACCTGGAAATAAAAAGGCTTTTCTGAAAAAAGGCTCAAATTGGGATAGCTAATTTTTTGAATAATGAAATTTTAAGAATTAAGTAAAATTTTAAATCTAAAATGCAAACGGTACTCGGCAGAACTTTTTTTGTACTTCTTCTTAAATTCATAATGTTTACCAAAAAAATTATTTTTTAAACACATTTCCCAAAACCTAGATTTTTCGAACTTGTAGCCACCGTAAATTATTGCAATAATACATTTAAAATCTACATACCTGAAGCTTGAAAACCCATTATAAAGTGTTTTCAACAATACCATAATAAAATAACACACACCGATTTTTTAATAACAGTTCAATCACAATTTTAATATGTTTTAACTTTCACTATCACAAATAAAATTATAATGTTTTCAAATTCGGACGTACTGACTAATTAAAAATACTTATCTATAAACGGTATGTTTTTTGGGATTAGCAGAAATTTGATTTTTGTCGTCCTACGGGATATGTATAACCGTATGTGCGGTGATAAGATTTTTTTGAAAATACGTTCTATCTGTAAAAATCTGCTCCATCTGTCTAAATTATTTTCAGCATTACAGTGTTGCCACTTCATACTAAAAGTAGCAGTAGCATCTTTGTTATTTTAAATAGAACACCCGGTTTATTATTACATTTTATCGAAACTACTTTCATATCCCATAATTTTTCTATTATACTAACTTATACTTTTACCAGTTTTCGAGAGACGTTTTTGAAAAATAAACCATGTGTAAAATTGACAAAAACATAATCTTCAATACGTTGATTAAATAATAAATTCGGCATATTGAAGGTTGTATGTTAAGGGAATATTCGATCTGTCTAAATCAACTGAGATTGGAAGAGCAAAAACATGTTTATTTCCGTATGTTATAAAATCGTTCAAATCATTGTTATTTTAAATTTAAGCCTATGTATATTATTTAAAAAATCGAAACATAAATAAAATTACTTTCCAACGATATTTCACATTCCTACACTTAAACATTCTGGTCTGTTGAGGAAAGTTATTTAAAAGATAATAATTCTATTATAATTGTTTTGTTTAAAAAAAAATCTTTACAATGACAAATATTCAAACTTTGTAAATTTTTCTTTTTCTTTTATAAAATATATTTGATGAAAAATTTGATAGTGTTAATATCCAATATTTTATAAAATCGTACATATTACACTGTCAAATTCTTGCACAAAATAAAATGTTTGACAAAGAAATTTAATAGTGTTCTAAAATTGTCATGGTAACGAAATTCTTGAAATGATATTATAGTAATAGAATTATTATTTTTTTAACACCTCTACTTAAAACCCGGAAGATTTGGGGTATGATATATTGTTGAAAAGTAATTTTATTAATCTGTTGATTTTTAAAAAAATATACATAGGGTTTAATTTAAAATACCAAAGATTTGGGCGATTTTATAACAAATGAAAATAAATATGCTTTTGGCTGTTCTCGTATAATGTCCAATCGGCTAATTAGGCAGATCAAATACATATATCGGCTTTTGTGAATTTATTAGCCAAATTTCAATTTTAAAAGTATTCAATTCGCATTTTTACCATAGCTTATTCAAGATCATGTTTTTGTGAATTTTACACATGTTATATTTTTTATCTCGAAATTTGTTAGAGACCAGTATAGATTAGTATAAATGAGATATGAAAGTAGTTTCCAGAAATGTAATAATAGACGGGGTGTTCCTTTTAAAATAACAAAGATGCTACCACTTTTAGTATGATGCGGCAACACCGTAACACTGAAAATAATTTAGACAGATGGAGTAGATGGCTTTATGCAAAAATACAAATTTTCAAAAAAATCTTATGACCATAAAATAAATCCATAAACGTCTAACGTGCCATC